CCCCCCCCATTTTTTGGGTTCCCCATTTCCAGGTTTCTCTCCCCATTTTTTGTTTCCCCATTTTCAGGATTTTCCCTCATTTTTGGAGTTTTCTCCCCATGTTTTGGGTTTCTTTCCCCATTTTTGGGTTTCTCTCCCCATTTTTAGGGTTCTGTCCCCATTTTTGAGTTCCCAATTTTCAGGGTTCTGCCCCATTTATTTTTTTTGTTCCTCATTTTTGGTTTTTTTTCTCAGTTTTGTGTTCCCAGTTTTTGGGCTCCACCCTCGTTTTGGGGTCCCCATTTTTGGGGTCTCCATTTTTGGGGTTCTTCCCCCATTTTTGGGGTTTTTTTTTCCGTTTTTGGGGTCCCCATTTTTGGGGTTCTTCCCCCATTTTTGGGGTTTCTCTCTCTGTTTTTGGGGTCCCCATTTTTGCAGTTCTTCCCCATTTTTAGTTCCCTGTTTTCAGGCTCCTGCCCTGGTTTTGTGTTCCCATTTTTGGGGTCCTGCCCCATTTTGGGGGTCTTGTCCTGTTTTTGGGGTTCTCTCCCCATTTTTGGGGTCTTGCCCTATTTTTGGACTCCCTGATTTTGTGTTTCTGCCCCATTTTCGGGGTCCTGCCCCATTTTTGGGTTCCTCTCCCTGGTTTCAGGGTTCTCTCCCCATTTCTGGGGTCCTGCCCCATTTTTGAGCTCCCCATTTTTGGGGTTTCTCTCCCCATTTTTGGGATTTTCCCCCCATTTTCAGGGTCCTGCCCCATTTTTGGGTTTTTCTCCTCATTTTTGGGGTCCTGTCCCAGTTTGGCCTCCCTGATTTTGGGTTCCTGCCCCATTTTTGGGTTTCTCTCCCCATTTTTGGGTTCCTGCCCCATTTTTGTGTTCCTGCCCCATTTTTGGGTTCCTGCCCCATTTTTGGGTTCCTGCCCCATTTTTGTGTTCCTGCCCCATTTTTGGGTTTCTCTCCCCATTTTTGGGTTCCTGCCCCATTTTTGTGTTCCTGTCCCCATTTTTGGGTTCCTGCCCCATTTTTGTGTTCCTGCCCCATTTTTGGGTTCCTCTCCCCGTTTTTTGGGGTTCTCCCCCCGATTTGGGGGTCGCTGACTCTGCTCTCCCCCCCCAGCCCTGCAGCTGCCCCTGGTGAGCGAGGGGGGTCGGGGGGGGCCCCCCGAGAGCCCCCAGCCCGCGCCCCCCCCCCGGCCCCGGCACATGCTGGGGCTGTCCCCGACCCCGTTCCTGGTGCCGCGCAGCCTGGAGAGGTGAGGACACGCCCCCCAGCCCTGATTGGCTGGCGGGGACAGCCTGGCAGCCCATTGGCCACAGGGCGGGACGATCCTGGGCTCTGATTGGCCAGAGGGGGGTGGGATCCTGTGCCCTGATTGGCCAGCAGGGGGCTATGGTCCCTGATTGGCCAGAGGGACAGTGGGATCCTGTGCTCTGATTGGCCAGTAGACGGTCATGTGCTCTGATTGGCCAGAGGGGGATGGAGATCCTGGGCCCTGATTGGGCAGCGAAGGGTCATGTGCTCTGATTGGCCGGATGTTTGAGGGGATCCTGTGCCCTGACTGGCCAGCAGAGGGCCATAGGCCCTGATTGGCCACAGGGGGTGGGATCCTGTGCTCTGATTGGCCAGCAGAGGGCCATAGGCCCTGATTGGCCACAGGGGGTGGGATCCTGTGCTCTGATTGGCCAGCAGAGGGCCATAGGGCCTGATTGGCCCGAGGGGCGGTGGGATCCTGTTCTCTGATTGGCCAGCAAACAGTCATGTGCTCTGATTGGCCAGAGGAGTGGTGGGATCCTGGGCTCTGATTGGCCAGAGGTCTGGGGGAATCCTGGCCCCTGATTGGCCAGCAGACGGTCATGTGCTCTGATTGGAGAGAAGTCTAGAGGGATCCTGTGCTCTGATTGGCCATCACAGCTGCATGTGCTCTGACTGGCCGAACGTTTTTGGCAATTCTGTGTCCTGATTGGCCAACAAAGGGTCTGTGTTCTCGTTGGCCTGAGATTTTCAGGGATCCTGTGCTCTGATTGGCCAGGGGACGAGGAGAGTCAAAGCTCGATTGGACACAGGTCCAGGGGAATCCCATGCCCTGATTGGCCAGCCGAGGGTCATGCATCTTGATTGGCCAGAGGTTTAGGGACATCTTGTGCCCTGATTGGCCAGAGGTTTTCAGTGATCCTCAGCCCTGATTGGCCAACAAAGGGTCATGCACTCTGATTGGCCAGAGGAGTGGTGGGAACCTGTGCCCTGATTGGCCAGAGATCTGGAGGAATCCCAGAATCGGATTGGCCAGCAGAGGGTCATGCATTCTAATTGGCCAGAGATCTAGTGAGATCCTGTGCTCTGATTGGCCAGAGGTCTGGAGATATCCTGTGCTGTGATTGGCCAGCAGAAGGTCACATGTTCTGATTGGCTCAGTGAGGGTCATGTGCCCTGATTGGCCAGAGTCTTGGGAGTATCCTACACTCTGATTGGCCAGTGATTGGAGAGGATTCCGTTCTCTGATTGGATAGAACTCGAGACACAGAACGCGAGCTGATTGGCTGAGCACGGAACAGGAGGTGATTGGGCAGAGATTCAGGGAGGTGCTGGGCTCTGATTGGCTGGACAGGATCCCGTGCTCAGCGATTGTTCGGATGTTCAGGAGCCCGCTCGTGCTGATTGGCTGCTGCTCTGAGGGCTCGCAGGCCCTGATTGGCTGGAGCTCTGGGGTGCTGTGTTCTCATTGGCCAGAGCTCCAGGGTGATCTCGAGTCCTCATTGGCTGCAGCAGAGCCTGCAGCTGCTGATTGGTTGATGGTTCAGAGGGTCCCAGTTGCTGATTGGCTGGGTCAGCAGGAGAGCTGTGTGCTCATTGGCCAAGACTGCAAGAACCTCTGGGTGCTGATTGGCCAGGCAGGCAGGATTCCTGTGCTGTAATTGGCCAGAGCTGTGATTCCCTGTGTGCTGATTGGCTGGGCTTTCCCCCTACACTGAGCTGATTTGCCAGGATCTCCCGTGCTCTGAGCTGATTGGCCGAGCTCTCCCCATGTTCTGAGCTGATTGGCCGAGCTCTCCTCGTGCTCTGAGCTGATTGGCTGAGCACTTCCCATGCTCTGAGATGATTGGTCGGGCTCTCCCCATGCCCTGAGCTGATTGGCCGAGCTCTCCCCGTTCCCTGAGCTGATTGGCCGCGCTCTCCCCATTCTCTGAGCTGATTGGCCGAGCTCTCCCCATGCCCTGAGCTGATTGGCTGAGCTCTCCCCGTGCTCTGAGCTGATTGGCTGAGCTCTCCCCATGCCCTGAGCTGATTGGCTGAGCTCTCACCATGCTCTGAGCTGATTGGCTGGGCTCTCCCCTTGCCCTGAGCTGATTGGCTGAGCTCTCACCATGCTCTGAGCTGATTGGCTGAGCTCTCTCATTGCTCCCTCAGCATCGAGATCGACCAGAAGCTTCAAGAAATCATGAAACAGACGGGATACCTGACTGTGGGGGGACAGGTGAGTGATGGGGATACCTGACTGTGGGGGGACAGGTGAGTGATGGGGATACCTGACTGTGGGGGGACAGGTGAGTGACAGGGATACCTGACTGTGGGGGGACAGGTGAGTGATGGGGGATACCTGACTGTGGGGGGACAGGTGAGTGATGGGGGGTACCTGGCTATGGGGGAGTTACCTGTTTATGGAGAGGCTACCTGGCTAGGAGGGGTTACCTGGCTATGGAGGGGTCACCTGGTTATGGGATGGGTTACCTGGCTAGGAGGGGTTACCTGGTTATGGGGGGGTCACCTGGTTACTCAGGGTTTATCTGGTTATGGGAGGGGTCACCTGGTTACTCAGGTGTTCCCTGGCTGTGGGGGTGTACAGGTGATGACTGGGGGGCCTTACCTGGCCGTGGGCACACAGGTGAGCTCAGGGGTGTCCCAGGTGATTCCTGACCCCCCCAGTTTCCCTCCCCCCTCCCCCCAGCGGTACCAGGCCGAGATCAATGACCTGGAGAACCTGGGCGAGATCGGCAGCGGCACCTGCGGGCAGGTGTGGAAGATGCGCTTCCGCAAAACCGGCCACGTCATCGCCGTCAAGGTGGGGACAGGGGGACGTGGGGACAGGGGGGGACCTCGGGGACATCGGGGTGACCTTGGGGACATTGGGGTGACCTTGGGGACACGGGGGTGACCCTTGGGGATATTGGGGGGACCTCGGGGACATTGGGGTGACCCTGGGGACACGGGGGTGACCCTGGGGACTTTGGCGTGACCCCGGGGACTTTGGAGTGACCTTGGGGACTTTGGGGTGACCCTTGGGGACACGGGGGTGACCCTGGGGACACGGGGGTGTCCTTGGGGACATGGGGGTGACCCCGGGGACACGGGGGTGACCCTGGGGACATTGGGGTGACCCTGGGGACATTGGGGTGACCCCGGGGACTTTGGGGTGACCCTGGGAACTTTGGGGTGACCTTGGGGACACGGGGGTGACCCTGGGGACACGGGGGTGACCCCGGGGACATTGGGGTGACCCCGGGGACTTTGGGGTGACCCTGGGGACATTGGGGTGACCCCGGGGACTTTGGGGTGACCCCGGGGACTTTGGGGTGTCCCCCAGCAAATGCGGCGCTCGGGGAACCGCGAGGAGAACAAGCGGATCCTGATGGACCTGGACGTGGTGCTCAAGAGCCACGACTGCCCCTACATCGTGCAGTGCTTCGGCACCTTCATCACCAACGTGAGCACCTGGGGCACCTGGGGGGCACCTGGGG